AAAAAGGAGGTTTTTACTGAATGGTTGGTGTGTTTGAATTATTTTATTTCCATTTTGAATTTGATTTTAGTGTTTTTGTCGTTATACTCTAGCTAAAACTAAGGATTTAACAGTAAAATTGAGGCATGTTCACACCGAATGTTGTTTTATAGCTTCGGTTAGGAAAGCTTTCGGCCGTGTTCACAACGTAGTGGCTGATTGCCAATCCAGGCTATCGTCCTATGGGAGCTGTTAGCGCCTAACACTTTGCTTGTACTACCGCTTAATGGACAATAACGTTTGTCATCGCACGCCATTGTCGCGACAAGTATAGGGTTGATACTGTTTTAGAAATACATGCAAATAAATAATCCCGTCACAGACTGTCGAGATTTTTAAATTCTATAATCCTATTAATATTTTAAATGTGAAAGTTTCTTTGTTTGGATGTTTAGATGTTTGGATGTTTGTCGGTCAATCACGCCGAAACTACTGAACGGATTTTGATGAAATTTGGTATACAGATAGGGTGTTAGCTGACTTAGATAATAGGATACTTTTTATCCCACTTAACATTTCACTAGGGTCCAAGCGGGCGAAGCATCTGGCGAAAACTAGTATTCTATAATTATAGCTTAATAAATATAATAAAGAATTTTATTAACAGAAAAACTCTTAAATGTTATTATAACCCTTCACTAGACGAATAGATAAATACTGTTACGCACAAGTTTTACAATTTATCCACTATTTCTTTTTATTTTATTGGAACTGTGTGATATGGAAGTTATAAATCTTTTCTTTATCTATCGATCGAAAACCAAGTATGGGAAATTGCTAAAATTTTGTTAAACAAAAACTTAAAAAATCTATTTTTTGTAATCTAGTCTTTTACATTATCAAAAACAAACTCATTTATATTTGTTATAATTTGAAATTTCGTAAGAATAAAATGAATTGGTCTATTTGGCAGCCCTAGCTTGAAATTACTGTTTTATCTTCTCAACACGTTATGATGTACTCTTGAGTTAATTCGCAACAATTTATACGTGTTAGTACCTGATATTAACTAAGTGTATGTAGGTACAGTTAACAGCATATCAGGTAAAGTAAAACTTGACAAATTTCTCAAAAGGTGTTTCGATGGTTGGTTCGCTTTCAAATCGGGTCAATATTGTCCCGGGTCGGTTAATGCCAAAGTTTATGACGTTGGACTTTTGTAACTCTTACACAAGAACTACTGAATGGATTTATACCAAATTTTTTCGGTATACTGATTTGGTATACCGAATTCTAAGCCTGAATTATCGTATACGCTACTTTTAATCTCGCTAAACCGTTTCCTGTAATACCTCAGTAGCATGTTGAATAAGCGCCGCGGCCCGCGATCGTAAATATCAGGCAAATTTTGCAAGGGTCGGTCACGGGATGGGTGACCAAAAATTATTATTTAGGACGGTTCTGTGCTTCGGAAGGCACGTTAAGCCGTTGGCCCCAACTGTATGTACAGTCGTTAATAATTTTCAATCCTCATTGAGCCAGTGTGGAGAGCATGGCCCATTTTCCTTAACCATCCATTAGGAAGGCCTTAACTCCTACAGTGGGGACGTAAAAGGGTCAATGATGATGAACCATTCCCTAGGTACCACGCATACGAATTTTCTGGCAGCGGAAAGCTAGTATTCCACAATACTAGGACTTTAGTTACTTTGAATTTGAGCAATGTAAAATTATATTATATTATTTATTGCTTTGAAAATCATATCGTTATAATTAGTACTAAATATTAAGATAACTATCAAAGAAAATCGTAGGAAAAGATTATGTGTGTTCTATGTTGAGAGTTATTTTGCAGTAAATTTTTAGGAATACAAAAAACTGCTAGCAGATGCGCTAAAATAATGCGAAAACAAGCTCTACAACTTATAGAAATATGAGTATTTTTTGAATGTTGGCAACTATATTGCAAGCGGGACGCACGCTGCCCACGCAATGCTGTCGTCTTTTAAAAAAAATGGAATTAATTATCGTTTTTATTATTGTGTTAACGTTTCCGCAGAAGTATTGTTTAATTTTTTTTTTACATTTTCACTTGCGTTATTTGATCATAAAAAAATGTTGAAAAAAAAGTCGCTTAAATTTCTCTTTATATTATTGAATAAAAAAGACAACGAAAAAGAGGCTGCTGTCTGATTCTTAAGGTTCAATTGCCGGCCGGGTCAATATACAAAAAATCCTTTTAGTTTATTTTGCCTCGGATCTGGGTGTTGAGGTAATTTCATAGATTTCCGGATTTGTGACGTCAATTTTTCAATGATTATAATTAAAGTATCGTTTTAAGCAAAAACATTACCTTTATTATATATTCAAATTAAATAGATTTAATTTTATTCCAAAATGGCAAACTAGATTAAGAACAAAATAGTTAATAACATATCATAAATTTTAATGTCTTAAATAGACATATTTTTCATTATAATGAATATATTAAACCAGTTCTAAGCGATCCCTGCGGAGATGTCACATAAACTTATTTAAATATAATGAAAAAAAGATATTTAATAGTTCTTTGACTCCGCTTATGGCGCACTGCCAGAGAAAGGATTTATTTTTGCGATGTGTGGGCACAAATAATTACTATGGTGTTGGTAAATAGTAAACGTCACCTATATTCGTAAACCAATATTTCTAATACAAAAATTTGACAGTTCAGCTCGGTAAGAATTGTTTTACTAAGTGTCCGTCCGCATTGCGATTTTTCACCGTGCGGTTAAAAGTAGCGCAAATATTTTTCTGAGATCGTAATTACTCCTAGTAGGCATTATTGTTAGTATGAATAGCGTTCAATTTGCAAAATCTTTTTTAACGCGTGTTTTTTCCGTCATTGCGGACACTCCAAAGAAACTTACGGATGAAGAAACGATTCAATGTGTTAACAGAATTAGCAGAATTAATCTGCGCGTAATAAAACCGCGATGCGGACAGATGTGTTAGATGAAATATATAATTAACTCTGGTTTAATTGGTCTATTTGACTAAATTATCGCAAAAAGAAGAGCAGGATAAAAAGAGACGCAAAATATGTAATAAACATTCAAATGCTTAGTGTAAGATATAAAAAATAATATTAATGGTACACAATTTGTGTAAATTGCAACGTCAACGCATTCTGTGGCAGAGTGCCAGTACGTCTATTTCCCAGTTCTATTAAATAGTATGAATTCGTAATAAATATTAGTGTCCAAGGCAAGCGGTACGTGTGCGACGCCAATCTGTCTGAAGGTAAACCTCGTGTGTCCTTCGACGGTTATAACTATGCTATAATAATATGCAAACACACCCAATCTAGTTCCGTTGGTCTCATTCTGTATGCATCACATTATAGCAAACGTTCGGTCCACGTGCACAGAGGTTGGTTGCATTTTCGATTACTCTGATACAATACTCTATACTTAATATCCTTATTGTATCCATAGCTTTACATGTGATAAGATTGATTGTTCTTTCCACGAAAATTTCCAATGATTGGTTAAAGCTGTCTACAAACAGTATAGGTAACAGATTTTTTTTTTATCACACATGGAAATATTGTTAAGTATATATTTGGAAGTTCAATGGGACGATTTGCAATTGCTCTTGTTGACTTTTCAGTATAAGTCTTGCACCGTATATATATACAGATTAAAAACGTATCGGTGTTATTCTAAAACGAGGATTAAAAAAAAATAAATAAAAATTCGACCAAAATAACTAAACATGTCTTAGTTTGGCGTTTTCTTATTTGTCATTATGAATTTTCCTTAGGTGGATAATATTTAAAGTGATAACTAACTTTAGTTCTCTTTTTAAAATAAGTAGTCTAAAGTTCAATGTGACGATTTGAAATTTCTTGGCGAATTCTCTGTACAAGTCTTACGCCGTAGATTTACAGACCAAAGGCATAGTGCTTCGATATTTTATTGATTTGATCGAAAGGTGTATAAATGAACAACGTTAGCTATGATTTTGTTTTGTACAGGGGTAACAGAAGGTGAATAACGGATTAATCAAGCTATAAAGACGGGTCGTTGATTCGAGTTATCTCGTTCACGGTCCGCTTGCTACAGCTTCTGTCTTCGGCAAACGTTTCGATTTCGGTCTTGCTTCACTGATATCTTTACGCTCTCGTTAAATATCTGTCTGTGATTTGTTTATTCGCTCAATTTGTGTACTTTCTAGGGAATAAATTGCTGAATGAGGATCGATCGTCGATGAAGACGCAATAGACCAAAGAGATTTAATATGTTTGTAATGTAATGTTGCTTTGTTTTGATACAATGTTGCTAATCTACGGATGAATGTGAAGTAATGTAAGGAAAGTTTGTTTGTTCTGACTGTGTTCCGTGTTTAGATTGTATACATTGTATACATATACAGCAATTCTATTCCGTGTAATATCCCGATGCGCGAGCTATATAAAGATACATCGTCTCAATTTAGTAGTAAGATTTTAAAGCTACAAGGTTGGAATTGTAAAATTGTTTAAACTATTCTGATTATATACTCCTCTTACCTGATCACGCTTTTGTATAATTATATATTTACTCAAAAAATATTCGTATTTTTGTTGTTGGTTCAATCTGTTTTCCCGCGAATTTCTCCCTGGGTAAATGAAGACTATATGTCCCGCGTGTGATGTAGCTTCACGTAGGTGAAAGAATTTTTAAAATAGGTCCAGTAGTTTAGAAGCGTATTTGATGCAAACAAACAAACTTACATACAAATATACAATCAAATCTTTCCTTTTTATAATATTAGTATATTAGATAATATTAGTCGCAGCTACTTACATACCTCCTGCATTTGCCGTTAGCCTAAGAGTAATATATATACTGTCTAAAGGGCCACATATATGTTACGATCCTTCATTGCATATCAATGGCAAAAGTGTGCAAAGTTTACTAGGTTCAGACGGCAATGAAAAGTTATTTCGATTTTTAAATTTATGAAGTATAAAACCTCTTTCGTTTGGTTGCCCACAGATGCGGCCTCCATGCTGACTTCACCGAATTAACGGCCTGTGTGGGTGGTGAATTGGACCGGCACGAAGGCTCAGCCGTCCACAGGCGATATTTTTACATCACGCTACTCAGGGAGCCAGTGGCAAGGTAAAACCACATTTTTCTTTATATTAATAATCTATATCATTATGATTTAGAGAAATTTTTTGGTTTTCTTTTTTTCTTCATAAAATACGAATCATTGTAATCTGTTTATATCAGTACAATTTAATTTACTTATTGGATACGGATACCGATGGCATTTGAATACTTAATATAAAATCTCACAATATTCCGTAAATTTATGCTACCTAACTAGGTCGTCTAATCTAGTAGTCATTTATTACATGTCTAACCTGTCCCTGACCTTTTAGAATTCATAATCAAAGTCAACAAGTATGATGTTTTGGCGTTTTTTATAAGTATTCCACTTAGATAATATTTTTTTTTTCATTAACGACAGCACATTGATAATTTGATAGTAAGTGATTAAGATAAAAAACTATTTCATCTCATGTAGATCTTATCTTTCCGGTATTTTAGAACAACCACAAGAACTTGCGTCGCTAGCGTCGTCAGTCTTGAATATCTTTTGATTTTAATCATTAATAATTTACATATATCAACCAGACTGTACAACGTAACTAATTGAATTAAACAGCAAACAACTGTCGTTGAATGATTTTTTTTAATACGCGCTACTAGCAATCAAATACAAAGAACTTCAACCGTCTAACAGCTACTTGCAAAAGTGTCCATTAAAATTTGCTTTACTTTAAAGCGACATTGCCCATACAAATTTTATTATTAGAGCCCCTGCAGTGGGGACGTAGAAGGGCTGATGGTGATGTTCATATCAAGGACTTAAAGAAGTCTTTGGATACACTGAATCGATCGTCTAATGACTCTTTAAAGAAATTATTAAATCAATGGCCAGCTGAGGCATTTGATATTGCACTATCAAAATCTCATAGACCAATTAAGCAGTTCTCTTACCAAATTTTCATTATTTCTGGTTATGTACTCGGCGATGTGGCCGGATATTATGGACTGATTGATTACTGAGTGCGTTGTTTGTATAACTTCCGATCTCAAAGCTTCTACTACTATACTACTACAATATTCTCACTCTTATACTAATATTTTCCTTTGATGTATTTGTTATATATGGTGCTATCAATGGGAAAAAAAAGGAATTTTGTTAAAAATGATATGTATTGCTTTAGAATAAAATACTAAATAAATATTACACAATATCACATACATTGTTCAGATTCCAAGATGAGTAGTCAAAGCCCCCGTATTATGGAGTATCTGAGACAACGAAAGTAACACAACACCCAGACCCGACATAATATAGAACAGTTCATTTTCTACATTGACTCGACCGGAGATCGAACCCGGGACCTCAGAGATGGCGACACCTTGAAACCGGCGTGCGAACCACTCGGCTACGGAGGTTGTCGAGTTTAGATTAATAACTTTGTAAATATTTTTAATATTACACATGCACTACCCGTTCTCCTTAGGGTTTCCGATAGCAAAAGAATCAATCTTGTGAATCTATTCAGAAATATAGATTTTTCGGAATCCCTAGTTCTTCTTTGAATTCGCCCTCATTAATTCTTCCCGCTGGTGAAAGAATTTTTAAAGGCGGAAGTTTTAAAAATTCATTAAAATAAAAGTTTGATGCAAACAAATAAAGAATAATTTATAATATTAGTATAGATTACATCGAGTGTTAGAATATACGCTGAAGATTGTAAATTCTGTATGTGCATTCATTTCCGCCGCTCGCCCTTTCTTTGAACTGATAAATTGCAGACATTCGGCTAGATCCTTCCGAGTACATCAGTTAAGTACCAAAGATAAAATCAATTTCGTTATCGACGCAATTTTGCCACAAAACGGCAACGTTTTACTGAGATCCTATTTTGGCTAATACAGTTTTAATAACTTTTTCAATACCGTTACCGGTTTTAATTTGGGGCCGTTCAAATATCACGTAATGCAAATTTTGGAGATTTTTAACCCTCCATACGTTACGTAACACTTAAGTGACCACGCCTATTGGTGGATTAAACCTATTGGTTTGCCAGCAGTTAAATATTGGTTGGCATTTTTTCCGCTTGCAAGTCAGCATGAGAGTTTTTATAGGCTTTGGAAGATATAATTTCCCTAATTTTGTTTTAATTTAAAAATACCGATGTTGCGTAACGATTCGTACCCCTCCCATCCAATGATTAACAATGATACGCTTTCGACGTTTTGCGTCTAATACGCAAAATATCAAAAAAGTTTGTATCTATCTTTTTTTATCATAATAAATCTTTACAAAGATTCCTTCCCAATCATTGAAACGTTTTCCCAGAATTAATTCGACGACGCAAAGGTATTGAAATGAAGAAATATCCAAATTTTTAAAGATGAATATATCATCAGTCTGAAATCCAATAATAATAAATTATATAATGTTCTAACAAAAACACCACAATATCGACAGAGAATTAGATTTTTTTTTTCATTCACTAGTACAAGAAGCCATGTCATTCACGACATTATATATGCCTTTATTTAAAAGCCTTGGCCAGTAACTATAACTATACAGCATATAAAAGTTACCGCTCACCGCTTTATTATGAAAATCATTAAAAATCTTGCAACAATATCATGAGTCAGTAACATATCTATCTTTCTACTCATGAATTAGATTTAATCAAACTTTCGTAAGGCAGCCACAACCATTGTTTCCAACGACATTATTTTATAACTTTAGTTTCAATACCTGTACTTGGTTATCATAGCTGGATAGCGAATACAATATTGTTGAAGCATTTTCGTGACTCTTTGTATAGATTTTTGGCTTTCCGGTCTGAAAAGGTTGCCGACCCCTGCCATAGGCCATCTGTAGTAGTGCGCTCTTTATCACATGTATGTTGTTTCAGGTATCTCTCTGAATACCGACACGTTAAGCGCGGCGCCACTTGGAAGGGCTCCCGACACTGGTGCCAGGGACGAACCGCTACAGGTATGTTTGTAAATAATAAAGGTTCCCTATAATGTGCAGAAAACACTATGCCATACTTTTGTTTATCCTAATTATATTTAACGAAAAAATGTTTAATTTTAAAATGCATGTTGTACTTACATCTAGAAGGTTACAATCCAGTTTCTTTTTTGTGAAAATTGTATTGTTTATATTTTTGATTGTAATCAGTTTTGTAAATCAAAAAAAAAAATAATAAAAAAAAAAACAAAAAAATTGTAAGCATAATAATATTCAAGCACAACATCTTAAATCATTAATTTAAAAGCTTGTATAAGGACGCGGTCATAAAGATAAATATGCCAACATTATAATAGCAAAGTATATAGTACAAGTTTATTATTTGAAAAATTATTATGCTAAAACGGTTATTCCAAAGCAATCATAAGAACATTATGTTAAGGCATAAACCTGCAATGCTATTCTGTAATATAAACAGTCTAGAATCCGACGTCGAACGAAAGTTAAATGACCCCTAACACACTTGGCGTGAACTTAGATATACTCGTACCTATCCAGGTAGTAATTCTTAACTATCTAGATAAGAAAACCAATTATAACTTGATCTTCACGAAAAATCACGACGAAAGAATGCAATACAATTATTATATTTAGAAATATAAATTGAATTTAAATACGAACATAAGAACAAACATTATCACGTTTTTAATTAAACTACGAAACTTACAACAAACCTTTTTTGTTCATTGAAATGTTGAAATTAAGTAATATTCGTTGCTTTCAACCTTGATAGCTTCATTTGATTATGTGACCATTTTCGTGACATTATTATTATATCATACCACATTATAGACAGTTTATTTGTCGAAATACGTACACTTTAATTGCTGGCTATTATCAAAATTGCCTAACATTAAAAACGAGACATACTATTCATGATTAAACACATTATTTTGAACGTAAATCATTATTTTCCATGGTTAGGTATATAGGTATACATAAATAGGTATAAGCTGAATCACGGGTGATAAGCAATAAATAAAAAAGATGAGATAATTGCGGGAAACTGAAAACAATATTTCGTAATACTAGGTTGTATAGACTAGCTCCCTTTGCTTTTACTCGTAATTAAATGTCAAGATAATGTCAGATGAAGTCTAGTCATTCGATCAAGTAATTGATATAACTCGTATGAATTAACATGAAAACTGAGGGCTATTTGTTCTCAAACGTAAATTAGGTAAATTTCCTTTTCCTTAAAATTATAGCTGTGAAGATTATCTGTGCATCGTCCATTAATTTATAAATTAACGAATAGTAGTAATATTAAGTTGTATTAGCATTTCTAAAATAGACGAAATAGGTTTTTTTTTAATATAGATTAAGCTTTCAAATATCACGTTAATTTGTACGAGTAGTAACTGATGAGTTTATGTTTTTATTCCCAACTTGTTATGTTATTAGAGACGAATAAATTCGTAACATATTAATTATCCTACGTGTCTTCTTAAGGTGGTGTCCGCGGTCTAAACAATTTTTGTTTGTATTGATTTTATTTAATTGTTACACAACGTTATTTTATGTTTACTTATATCTATTAATATACAATTTGTTTATTTACAACCAGTATTTATCTATTTATAATATTATTTTGTTGTATTTCTTAAAATAGTAATACTATAAACTTTATTACTTTCATATTACAAATTTTGAGTATATATATTTTATCGCGTTTATTGATACGCGCGCGCCGATACGTAAGCGTGCGCATGCGTAATAACCAGAGGTCGGAATTAGGTAGAGTTATTTATGTACTTGCATCGAAATGTTGATATTAATGTGGACCTTCCCGGGATTTCTTTATTTCTTTCTTTCATTGATGTAAGTTTGGCATCGTCGTTCGTGCAGTAGTTTAAATTGTGTAAAAGTAAATAACTTTTTATTTAAAACTCACGGGATTTTTTCTGCTCTTTAAAATTAATCTCGGGATTTGAGGCATATCCACTTTATTCTTTCGCTGTATGAAATTAGTGTAAGTACATGAATAACTCTACCTAATTCCGACCATTGGTAATAACATCCTCGGAAAAATTTTTGGCGCGCCGCGCATTTTCACACTTTCGTTTGGATACATTTGATCAATTTTTTATTTTCTTTGATTATTTGCATTAGTATGATATTTGGAATTTCGTAATTAGATAGCTCTCTCAACATATACTGAATTATAATAGTAGATGGAAATCATGTCTAACACGTGTGAAGTATTATTATAACTTTCTCGTACAACTCATCTCATATAAAAGTATCCCTTTGATCTTCTCCTTAATACTAGAATTTACATGTCACGCTTTACTTTGATGACATAAATATTGACTGATTTTAGTGCAGGTGGGAGTGAGAGGGTAAAAACGTGTGTATCGATACAATATTAAATCCAAAAGCTCATTATTGTAAATTAAGTTGTGAAGGTACCCAAGATTACAGTTTTCAAAACGAGGACAACCAAATTGTAATCAATAATGAGAAAGGCATATTATATGTCAACTAACAATGGCGTTTCAGAGATTAGCCAGAACAAACAAGCGGAAAAAAAAAATTAAAAACTCCGAATTAATATTACACTTCTAATATATTTCTATGCAGGTATTCTCGTCGCGCCGGGGATCGTCACTGCTCACCCTTTACAAAAACAAATATTACAAATCCAATTCTAAGTTACTGCTTGTAATTATTAAGAGGTACTCAATGGTTCAATATTCAGAAATATTTAAACGTAATGGTTTGTGAAAAAATAATAAAAAATAATTATGCTCTATTTCGTCTCATCTGTCCTTATCTGTGTCGATGACTGCACTTTTAGTTTCACCTTATTTTCTCTATGCGCAGTCTTAATGAAATCGATTGTACTGTATATTGTGTGTGTTATAAAAAGTAGACGTCGACCAACGCTCGGACATCGCGTGATGCTATTAAGAAAAAAATATCCAACAGTCTTTTATAATTGTTTATAACAATTACATAACAATAAATAATTGCATGGACATGTTTGTATTCTTAAATATTAGTTAAGTGCTACAATCATAGGCTCAATTTTGGGGTAGGTAAAAAAGGAAAACGGTATAGAATAACCATGTGTTTATCTATCCGTTCGTCTGTGATATTTGTTTTTTTCGTACACCTGGACTGGTTGAATTGAAATTTGGTACACTTATGTAAGACGGTGATCCAAGGACCTCTTTTGGGGGGTAAATTAGATAGAAAAAAAATTACAGACTATAATATAAATTATGACTAACTATACTATGAATAAAGATTTTAAATTCAATTCATTTATTCATTCGAAATAGGTAAAATCTAACCATTATCTCCCCGTCATTTTACAAACCTACAGCTTAAAATAAAATAAAAAAAATCAAGAAAATAGTCTTATATCACAGAAGAATCTATTAAAAGTACAGAGTGATAGTTTTTTTAATGGGATTGGAGTGGATCGCTTTTTATATTTCTATCTTTGTCTAATTTAATTTGCATTGTTTATTTGCATTTATATGCATAATTTATAAGAGATAAGACAGGACGTCTTTGCTAACGTATATATATATATATATAAATATATAGGTAAAATAGGATTTTTTAACCTCTACGTGCGTTTGTCCATCACGCAATGTTAGCCAATAATTAAGTCTACCAAGTTTGTGTCTACTTTTGGGGTCAGACCCTCTGTTTTCGTTGTTCAAATCAAGTTAATGGCCTGTACAAGAGAACAACTTTTGTTTGTTCAAGCCAGAACTAAGTTTAAGCATCAAAGTTTCTATTGCTTCACTCCGCTATTGAATGAATGAATTAATATTTTTATTTGTCACATTCTACTTTATCTATCGTTTGAAGTTTCATTTTAAATAATCGAAACAATTGTAACATTTTATTATTAATCTAAATCATTGTAGCATCCAATATCTCCTGCTAATATACTCTTTGTTATTTTTGCCAACTTTAGCTTCTTAACTTCTCTAGAGTAATTTTTCTTATCATTTCTTTATTACATTGTGGTAACAGCAGAGCGAAAATTACAACAATTTGTTATTCTATTTTTCACTCTTAATATTGGTTCCAGCAAAATTAATTATGTATTACTAATAATATCAATGATGGGCCAATGATTTTATGTTTGCGATTAACTGACCAGAAATCTCAAAAACTATTCTAACTTAGGTATAACCACCATGTACAATGATAATGTAAGGTTATACATAATGAAAGATATTGCAATTGTTATTTTTTTTTGATTAGCTTCTGAAGTACCAGCGTGCTACACGGGAGAGTCTTGGCGTGGGGTGACACTCGAAGAGTTCGCTGCCTGCCAATGGAATTTAGCCAACAATCGACAGACTAGGATGTTGGCTGATCTCGCGCTAGTCGGTTGCTACAATGGCACATTGAGGCACCGCAGCGTTGAATCAGATCGGGTACTACTCGCATCGGCCAAGAGGAACTTGGCCGCGATGGCGTACTTTGGCCTCACTGAATATCAAAAGGTATGTATTTTAATTAGTGTCGTATTTTATATTTTAATCTTCAGGGTAACTGACAAGCAGAAAGTTGTGACATGTTATGATGACGGTGTGTGTATTTATAATTTGTATACTATTGTGTGATAGCATCATCATCATCATCACCAGCCCTTTTACGTCCCTTCTGCAGGGGCTGAGGCCTTCCTTATGGATGGTTAATGAGGATGGGCCATGACCCTCCACGCTGGCCCAATGCGGATTGGAGGGTATTAACGACTGCAAATGCGGCCGGGACCAACGGCTTAACGTGCCTCCCGAATCACGCAGTAGCTCGAGATACGAACACGGAGTAGCGCGGAGCTTGTCCACTCCGCCACCGAGCTAGATAGCATCATACCCTATTTAAATTAGAATCCGCTCTCAAGGGTTAAAAATGAATGATAAGTGATTTTACACTAATTCAAATTATTCTGTAGAAGATCTGTGGATGAAAATAACAATTATATTTATCACAGATCTTAACATAAAGTTGCAGTAAAAGGTCGCTGTTTCAGGACAAATATAACATCCTTATCTGCTTACTTAAAGCGTACGTTTCGAAGTCAGAAGTAAATTACATATTTTCTCGTAACGAGACTTTACCCCCTGTTTCCATAATAGTATTCCAAGTCATCTCGGATAGGAAATTAAGGAATCACTACCCTCTTCGCGAACTCGCACAGAGTTTGCCTAGTATGTTCTATAATTATAGGTTTACGTAACAAATGTATACCGTAGCTGCTAACTTATTATGTTAATGTATATGTAATAATCGCATCTCAATGGAATTTCAACTAATTGCATTTTGCCATTGTAATATCTACATGAAGTAGGGTTGCCATCTTTTTTTAGAAGAAATAGAGTATATCTGATTTTAAAGGAGGTAAATAAAGAGAACGGACTTATAAATAAGAGTATCATTTATTTTGTACTTTTTGCAGCACATAACAATTTTTCATTGTTTTTAAGAAATTGTATGAGTTCAAACTTCCAACTCTAAATTTATACGTATATATCAAGAGCTCATTTTTGATCAATTTCAATGAAGCTCTGTTTCTATCTTCTCGCCACTTCACAATCATGACCGAAAAGACTCTTTCAGTAAATGCTGAAGTGGCGGGAACAGAGTTAGTTACACACAGTAACGTTAGTAGCTGCGTTCAGGAACGTTCGAATATAGAATTGGCGATACCATTCTGATTATGGGTTTTTGCATATTATTACAGACTGGTACTAGTTAAGTAAACATTGTGTAAAAAAAGAGTATTATTGCGTACTCTATTAGTGTTATAGATTATAGAGTACGCCTACATGATATAGCGGACAACTCTTTTTTAGAGTACGGTTGGCAACCCTAACCGGAAACTCAATATTAACAGTGCAATGTCTTCCTCACAGATTAATGGTGACAGATTTATTTATTATTTTATGAACTAGCAACAAGAATAGGGTTGTTTCCTACAAAAGAAAATACAGATTTCTATGTTCGGGAAAATATGAACCATTTTAACTTAAAGATATTTAAAAAAATAAGTTTGATAACTAATTTAGAAAATAATACGCTTTGAAATCATGATAAAAAAAGGGAAAATATATTACAAAATTTTGCTAAAAGTTACGTAAAACGAAACAAATTTAATTAAAACAGCTATGAACATAAACGCACAAATAACAAAGATTGCGCTGATGCTCAGATGCCCATATTCTTTTCACTACCGGTGCACTGTGTGACGTCATTAGTGTCTTGAATTTGTAGGGAGGGTTTTCGGCCGACTAGCAGTAGTTCCATAAACATAGTACCCTATCTCCGAAACTATTAATCGTAGACATGCTGTTACTTCTGTATTATTGCTCAGATATTAATGAACTATTTATTTAATAAATAAAAAGAAAATGTCAACTGGCCTATTGTGCCATAAAGGGTTGAAGTTGAAGCGCTATTGACTTTCCATAATAGGGTGTAGACAACTTTTTTTATATTTTTATTTTATAGATATACATGAGATATATCTAAAAGAAAATATATCATTCATATAATAAGTTAAAATCTAAAAATAAATTTAATTTTCAAAATCGCTATGATGTCACGGTTCTCTGAAATAATATCGTTCTATGTATGCTTAAGGTTGAATTCTCTTTTAAATCACGTAACCGCAAACAGCGGTTACGTGATAACGCGTGTAAAATATATTTTTTTCATAATTAATTCAAATAATATTATAAACATACTAAGCTTAAAATTGTGACTATCGGTAATAATACATTAATTAAACACTACCAGAAAAAATAATAATATGTATTTATTTTCATTTAATGTCTACATCCGTATTACGTTAACATTAGCAGAATAGGGATGACGATTAATTTTTGTTGTTTGTCCGCAAGGTAGATTGTTGGAAATATTAAACGCGTATTTTTTATTTTTGTCATAGTAATGAAATTCTGGCGATACATTAAGTGCAAATGTCATATGAGTAGCTCGGTGTCGTAGTGGATATGCGCCGCGGCACGCGGTCGTTGTCGTTAAGCAACTTTCGCAAGTGTCGGTCACGGGATGGGTGACCAAAAAATGATTATCTGGAGCTACTCCGTGCTTCGGAAGGCACGTTAAGCCGAGGTACCGGCTGCATTTGCAGTCGTTAATACCCTCCAATTCACATTGGGCCAGCGTGAAGGGTCATGGCCCATGCTCCTTTACCACCCATAAGGAAGGCATGAGCCCCTGCAGTGGGGACGAAATAAAGGGCTGATGATGACGATGAAATGTCATATGACGTCACGCTTTGGTACATTTTCTACTAAACTGTGACGCAACGACCCCCCTCTCCTCAACTTTAATACCTGTTATCTAAGCTATTTCTTGTTAAATTGAGATAAAAAAAAAAACGTATCTAATATTTTTCTATTATCGGATTGAAGGAGTAAATAGAATTTCTTTATTTTTACCAAGTCGTCATCCCTATTGCCCTACTAGATGCGAGCAACGCGAAAGATGTGGAGAATTTTGGGGAAGGCGAATACTTAGCAGTGGATTGATGATGATGTTACAAAAATGACAAACTCCGTATTCATCATGAATTGTTTATATTATGTAGGATTTGAATTTTTACTTTTAGATACGAGAACATCAGTTGCTTTTGTGAATTATTATATCAAGAGCGGTTGAAACAAAGTGGTGTGGTATTCAGTATTAAGAAAGTTAATAAGGGAAGAAAATTTGTTTTTAAATTAATGAAATTTAAAGTACATAGGCGACAATGTTTTAATATTAAACACTAGACAGATCATATTATTTTTCACGCTTGACTACTAATTACAAAATGAATTCCTTAAGTAGTACAAGTGTGAAGCCAGCAATATATCCAATTCTATACACAAAATGTAAATTTTATCATTCTACATAATATGCATTATTATGTTAGTGTGCAAAATAAGGATGCCGTAGGCGGCAAGTGTAGGCCGATACCTGTTTATATTTTGCATTCCAAATGTGTAATTTATCTATGTTGTTGATATTTGTATTGCATTTTCCACTGTTACGAAATGATACAAAAGTACACCGACCAACGCAAATAACCTCATTGATAATCGATATTATGTATAAATTTCATAATTGCATAGCCGATTGTTTTGAAATCTGTAATGTGAGCGTATTTTATTTTACCAGTTAAATTTTAAGTCGTACGTGTGTTTTGCACGCACTTTATGTACCCATAGAAGGAAAGAGGTTGTATATTACCACAAAATATTTTAATATATTCTAAAATGTAAGCAGTTGCCAACACCATATATGTCAAATATGTCAAATAATGTTAGTAAATTTAAATTGCCAATTAAATGTTTAACTTATAAATATAATTTTAGCTGACTAACAAGAAAATATCTTTGTATGTACATATATATATTTTTGTTTCTAATTCAATTTTCGTAGAGGCTATGCGGTTAATCAAAAACAATCCCAAATATTATTTCGTACGATTTTTCTTCATTAACATAATTAATTGTGAAACTCAGAAATGCCATAAAGCCAAATGTCTTAGTTCTTGAATTAAAAATAGTGATTTTTTCCCCTCAAGCGTTGTCTTAATTAACTACGATTGTATGAGTAAACGATGTAAGTTCGTTGTACTACGAAATCACTTAACACATACATCTATATGGTTTCCTGAAGTGCCGCCCGTAACATAACCGTTAAGAACGCATAATACCCATTGGTTTGATTGTGCAATCAAAGCTGAACATATTTTTTGAACGTGTCCAATAATCACGCGTGGTCATCGATGCCGCTAAGTTAGACTATTTCACATGAGGTTAGTAGCACTTCTAAATCGCACAGCTTGGCATTCAGACAAAATGACAGCCGCACAGTTGCATTTAGAACCTTATCAACATCGCGAAAATTGAATACATGTGAAAGTGCACAGGGGTGTGAAACCCTAACTTTAGATAACTAAGATGTAAATTGAAAACCAAAGGTAACTAATTTTAAAAACAGGACGCAGTCATTCTGTTTTCATTTTAACAGCAACAAAAACCTTGATTCTACGCATTGCTTAGAAAACCCAGGATGATACATAAAAATCAGGACGCTGGTTAAAAACTATCTATAACGTCAGAGGACACTACAAAGACCAAGACATGACTTGGGAAAACAAATCGGTTGACAACTGCAACTTGAGTACGACATATTAGTCGTGCGGCCATAAAAACTATTGAATAATCGCACGACGAAATCGCATCATTAACTCGTACGATCGTGTTAGCCAATTAGGATTAGACTAAAAGAAAATATTTTCACCTCCCATGTAACACATACTTTACGATTTCCCATGTTATATGTAACCTGCCTGACAAACAAACTTTATCATGTCCGGGTATATTCGTGCAGAAAATTACAACTCCTAACGAATGACCCCCCGGCAAACGGAAAGCACGCCTTATTTGTCTCGTTAGGAGTTGTCTAGTCAGGATAGTAATCAGCTCAT